CTCAAGCTTTACGTTAACAGACTCAAAAACGTTTTAAGCATTTTAAAAGTCCAGTAACCAGCATCTATATTATATTTTATAAGCCTATTGTAAAAGCTAAAGTATTATTTAATTTCACATTTTATATTCCCAATACACATAAGCTTTTTGATATATAAATATGAATAGTTAGATGTTACTATACTTTCTTGTAAGTCAATTTTTGTACTATCTCCGTTTATAAAAACAGTGAACTTCATATATAATATAGCTTATATTATATGTCAAACAAGCAAATACAAGAAAATTCTATAAAATTAGGCGATGATGATTTAAAACATGTATCATATACATCATGGCCAAAAATATATTTAGAAACAACTAAAACGCCTTTGTTTTCAAATCTCATAGCAGCTGCTAATGGGGATGAAGGTCATTCTGAGGACTATTTCGATCATATGTTACATCGCTGGACCTCAAAGTTTATTGTAAAACCTACATTTCAAAGGCCGGTAAATGTCGATATCTGTAACTTCAGATTGTATGTGACAGAGAATGATTATTTTATGAGTAGTTTACCACCTATAACAGCCACATGGACAAGTGAAATTAAAAGTAAAAAAGAACAGCAGACTGGTATAAGATACAATATTAAAAGTCATTTAAATTATAAAAAAGAAGCGTACTACGCTATGATTTGTGGGGCATATGTTGCCAGTTTTTTATGTGGCATCGGGCTTAATCATTTAAATTTTGATAAAAGTAGAATTATACAAAGCCTTGTTAAGTATCATTTATATTATACTATTCAAAAATTTATGAAGCATCCATCGTTATTAGACAAATATGACTTTACGGAATTGAAAAAGCATATACCTTATAAAGGTATTTTAAAATTTGATAAAAACAATGATGGGTATTATGTTAATTTTCAATATTCGACTACTGATTATAGGAGCTTCATTGCATATCATTCTGAAGGTACTACAAAAATCGGAAAAGTTCTTTTGCAAGAGAGCATTGAAAGTTTTGTTTATACAATTCTTGCTGCTCAGGCAAATACAAGATGGTCAATAGTTAATCATGGAGCTAAGAGCATGCAAACCATAAACGTTTTTAGGAAATTAGTAGAGGATACTATAGTACAGAATGATACGACTGTATTGATATCTAACATGAGAAAGAGTATAAAAGACACGAATGTTATTTTAAATATGGCAATCAGCCCTGGTATGATTTTAATACCCGGCCGTATGATCATATTAGATAAAAAGATTGATGGGTATAATAATATTTTAACATTAGCGAATAAAACTATGAAATTCGGTATTAATTCTAAAATAAATTATTATGGAGTTAAAAAGGAAGAACTAAAAAAAGTACATCAAGATAATACACCCTCACAACACCTAGATACTCTAGATGAAGTGTATAAAACCAGCAGTACATAAACATACAAAATGATAGTAAATAATCCACATCAAACAGATATGATTACTTTACTCGGTATATCAACGCTATCATCATTCATATTAGTTAAATATGTTTTATAATATAATATGAAAAAAGTTATAGATTTTAATCATATTTCGAGTGAGTTAAGTCAAGAGGAATTTGAAAAGCTTAAAAAGTTGTATTTGTACTATCACAAATTATATACCTGTTATAAATGGAAGTATAGTAAATTAAAGAAAATTAAACTATCATTAAACATGGGAAGTATTTTTCTAGTCTCGACTGCTGGTATTGTAGGTAGTGTAACCGTAAACCCGATAGTTATAGCCACCTTGAGTGGCCTAGGTGCTTTAGTTCAAGGTTATATGGTTAAGAGTAAGATTAATAATAACTTAGAAATGTGTAAATTTGCATATACATCATATGAAAAAATACTTATGGATATAAGATCATATTTAAGAGGATTACCTTATGATGAAGTGATATTTATATCAGACATAAAAGTTATTGATGATATTATTATAATAGACAATTGTCCTCCTATAGATAGTATGGTGAGTAAATATAACAAAAAATATAAAGATCTGTGAGTTATCTGTAAGTTATCTATAAGATTATCTGTGAGTTATCTGTGAACAAAATCTACAGTATTATATAACATGTCTGAAGAAAACGTAAAGATAACTACAGTTAAGAAAGAAAGACCCTCTTAGAGTTGAAGCTGGGAAACGCTTGGCTGCTATATCGAAAGCTGCTAAAGAAAAAAAGATGCGAGATAGGATTGAATTAGAACATAAAAAGAAAATTGAGGATGATAGCTGGAATATTAATTATGGATTCTTATTTGGAACTATTGGAGTATTAACTGCTATTGCTAGTCTCTATTATACAAGGAAAAATGATAAAAGGCAGGAAAAATTAACAAACGATAAAGCGAGAGAAGAAACAACTGGTGAAAAACATGTTTTGATACAAAAAAATAAAAAATATAATTTAGACTCATTTGAATAAAATATTTCCTATTATATATGAGTAATACTATGAATAATAAACAATTTATGAATGAAGCTTTTGATGCAGTGCTTGTGACAACAACTGCTGTAGGTCTTTCTATGGTGTCTAAAAAACTACTAGGTCAAAAATTAACAGACACAAACAGTATCAAAGATTTTGCTAAATTGGTTGTTGCTGTTACAGCATCAACAATGCTAGTTAAATATGCTCAAGACAAAAAATGGATTCCTGAAAATCCAGTTAAATCTGTATAAATATATATGACAAGTGTTATTACTAGTGGGGTTGGAACAGCTTTTGGAGCGGTTGTTAACGGCCTAGGTTTTTCCCTAGCAGGCTGGCTATTTCATAAACATGATAAAAACGGTTACACTGAGGGAATGAAAAGATACCATGAGTCTCTAGAAAAATTACAAAGAGCTAAAGAGGCGTTCTATGAAAATGAAGTCAAGCAGCATGATAAAATTCAACAGCTTAGACAAGAACTTCAATATGCTGATAATGATATAGAACTTACAAACAAAGCTTTATATATGCTTAGAAAAGAAAAAACAATACATTACAACGGTCTAACATTTCATAGAGAACCTCAACTAAATGACTTTTACAAAAAATCTAAGAATATGAAAAAATATCAATCTATTACAATGGTATGTCTTGGCATTGTATCCGGATATTTATTATATAAAACTACTTAAAGATATAATATTATATTATATTATATTATATGTATTGTAATAAATTGATTCATAAAGAGTTAGAAGAGTTTTTTGGTTACGTAAATTGTTGCTTTTGTGATAAAAAGATATGTGATAGTTATATTAATAGATCTGTTAAGACATACTTATGTTGCGAAAATCAAGAAATTATTTCAGATAACAATAAAATGAATGTTTGTATAAATTGTGGTTCTGTTCATTCATATAAAGTAGTAAATGAGTGGATACCAGAGATTTGGAAAAATCAACGATCCATACACTCGAGAAAGAAATGGTTTTATAATAAAATTAGATTGTGTGTAACTTTTGAATATGTTGAGATGATTACAAATGATTTTATAAAGGTTATAAATACTATGTTTAAATATAAGTTGATTCAGAAAAAGAATATTAGTATGTATAACTATTATATAATACGTTTAGCTAGTAGGAGGGGTATACCATTAAAACACCATGTTAGAGATATGAAAAATAGTAAAAAAAAAGGATTTTTGATGATAGATTATTTGGTGAAGTATATAAAATCCTTGAGTGGGATAAAAATATCGACTGTACTTATATATATGATAGAAAATAGAAAAAACTTAAAAGACTTAAAGACAAAAGATGATATTAATAGCATTGAAATGAGTAATAATAAAATATCATTATGTCATTTCGGGCCTGGTTGGGTTTTTGACTTTTTAGACCATTATTTATTATGTAAATTTGATTTATATATACTAGTTGATGCTTTACCGACAAAATTATTACATTATCCACCTGATTCTACAGGATATGAAAAATGTAAAGATTTTGAAACATTTAAACATACTTTAATATCTGAAGCAATTGAATATGGTCTAAAATTAGTTGAACATAATAAAAATTTAAGGTTATTAAGATTTAAAACTGATAATCATAAAAAAGAACTATTGTATTATTATGATACTACAGTACAAGAAAGTTTAGATGATCCTGTTATTAGCAACAATTAAATCAGTGTATATGGTTACATATGAAAGGGTTCAATCCTTATTATGAATATGGTTTAATGCCAAATATGTTACAAATTTATTACATAAAAAATCTGAATTAACCCTATATTAACCCTTGTAGCAAATATGCTACATTGGGCAACACTAAAGAATTCCTACAAATTTTGCAATATTTTTTAACTTTATTCACCAGTGTAGATTTTTTGCTACATGTTTGATGCTAATTTATATTAATAAAGCATGTAACCCCCCCCCCCAGCTACTATTTTTTACAAATCAAACATGGCGGATCACGAAAGAAGGCATGTGCGACAATCTGAGGCAATTTTAATTGCATTTACTGTTTTGAAATATGATGATTTGTTCCAAAACCTTTGATATTTTCAAACAAGGGCCTTCTCTAGACATTTCGTTTCATCTTTTGTTCTGAATAAATGCATCTTTATGTTCATAATTTTTCAATGAAAATCCTTGTTCCAAATCTGCTACATTGGTCAATAATTGATAAAACGAACTACATGAAGTATTTATTGTAAGTTGAGTTTTTGTTAAATTTATTGAAATATTGCCTATTTAAAATCAATCTTATGATACTTTTAACATATTAACTACTGTATAGAATGAAATTTCATACTATGGCTATGGTTTGTTCTAAATATTAGTTGATACATTTTATAAATGTATTGATCCATATATGTTTTTTTAGATGTCAAATCGCTTTGAAGATATAAGTGAGATCATTGATTATGTTATTGGTTCAGAGAGTGAGTTGAGTGATTTATCTAGTGATGATGAAGTAGATGAATGGCAACCACCTGGTGATGACAGCCAAGTTGCCAAACAACATGATGATAACATGGATATCCCGCTACCATTCCTGATGATGAGGGTACAAGCATTGATCATCGTGCTACAGTTTCTGAAGAAGTGCCCCATGGCTCAACTGCAAGAAGAAAAGAAAACCAAAAATTTATATAAGTTTGACAAGCGAAGAGCATTTGTTCCACCTTCAAACCTTGAATTCACAGATGCACCACTTCAACCTGAACCCAAAGATGACAGTCCCTACAACTACTTCAAATATTTTGTGACCAGCAACATGTTTGAATATTTGGCTGAAGAATCCAATCATTATGCCCATCAAAAAGCAGGGTTTTCACTACAAGCATCAGCATGTGAACTTGAAACATTTGTGGGTCTGTTTTTTCATATGGGATTGGTGCAAATGCCTGCTGTTGGTTGCTATTGGGAAACATACATCCATTATAATCCAATAGCTGATGTGATGTCAAGACAGCGGTTTCAAAAGCTTGCTTCCTATATGCACATTGCTAACAACCTAACAGTAACGGAGGAAAATAAGAATGATAAAGTCTGGAAGATAAGGCGATGGTGTGATGATTTAAATTCAAACTTTTTGAAAGTTAGTCCATCTGAAAACCAATGCATTGATGAAGTTATGGTTGCTTTCAAGGGAAGATCAATACTAAAGCAATATCTTCCAAAGAAGCCAAGAAAATGGGGATTCAAGCTTTGGGCTCGATGTTCATCAACAGGGTTTTTACATGTTTTTGATATTTACCAAGGAAAGAATGCCAGAACTGAAGAAGAAAGTAGTGTCTCTGGATGTGGATTGGGTGGAAATGTTGTTTTGAAGTTGTGTTCAACTCTTCCAACAGAAAGAAACTTCAAAGTCTTTGCTGACAATTTTTTCTCCAATTTTGAAATGGTTGCTGAACTAGAAAGAAGAGGATTACATTATGTTGGTACAATCAACAACAATCGTCTTCATGGGGCTCCTCTTAAATCAGAGAAAGAATTAAAAAAACAGGGGAGAGGGTCAGAGGACAGTGTTGTCGAGACAACAAGAAATCTCTCTTGGTTCGATGGTATGATAACAAGTGTGTCACAATGATCTCCTCCTATATTGGTAATCAGGATGGTAATAATGTACAGAGATATGATAGGTCAAAGAAACAGCATATTAGTGTTAATCAACCATCGATTATGCGGTTTACAACAAATCAATGGGAGGAGTTGACCTTATGGATATGCTGTGTTCGCTATACAAATATAAGCTTAGAAGCAAAAGGTGGTATATTTACATCTTTTATCATACTCTCACAATTGCACTGGTAAATGCATGGCTCCTATACAGAAGAGATTGCAAAATTCTTAATATCAGAGCAATGCCATTGAGAAAATTTCAAGCTATGGTTGCCTTTGCCCTGTGTAATGTAAACAAACCACAACGTGGACGTCGGTCAATAGAAAGTGCAAGAAAGAAGAGAAAAAAATCAGTAAATCCAGCACCAGTAGAAGATGTTCAATTTGATGGTGTTGATCATTTGCCCATTTATGCAGAGAAACGACAACGTTGCGAAAGTGCACGGATGGATTTTCACTTGTTATGTGTGGGAAGTGCAAGGTTCATTTATGCTTGAACAAAAATCGTAATTGCTACACTGCATATCATAGAAAGACATGCTAAAATTAATGTTTTAATGGCATATATTATGTTTTTTTAGAACTAAAACTATTCACTGAACCTTGAGGCTACTTACAATATATATTACCTGAACATAATTAATGTTAGTTTACACCTTATTTACCAATGTAGCATATATGGTACAATAAAGAAATTCTTGGAAAACATGATAAAATGATTTTTTCTTTTTAGTATGGTTAGTTATGCAAAAAATAAAGTGATAACCAAAGAAAATTTTTTTTCAGAAATAATTAGTCACTATGGTTAATATAGGGTTAAAAGAATATTTAAAAAAAAAATAAAACTAAAAAATGTTAAATAGCCAAATGTTTATTAAATTATTTTTATACAATTTAAATAGTACAATTTATTTGTATTATTAGAATCTATCTTAAACGCATTAAATAACTATTTAAAAAATAAAATATGTAGTATTAGTATATATGTGTTCAGATAACCTAATAAGAGGAAGGCCAATAATTTATACTAAAGAACAAATTAAACAACATAGAACTTCATATATGTTGTCAAAACCATGGCATTGTGATTCATGTAATAAAACATATAGTTTAGCATATAAAACTTTACATTTTAGAACTAGAAAACATTTAAGAAATTCAAAAAATTAAAAATAATATAGTTTTTATAAAAAGTTTTAAATATAGATTTATTTCTATAATTAAAATTAGTGCGTTTAAAAAAATATAAAAATAAAATATATAGTATATATATGAATAGAGATTATTTAAATCGAAAGGTACTTAAAGACAAACCTATATTATATAATATGCATAAGATGAATAGAGATATCTCAAAAGATGACTAGAAATGATTTAATTAATATAATATTAAATCAAAAGCCTAAGGTTAAAGTTAATAATACTTCAATTTCCAAACCAGTACAAAAAGTACTATCACAATCCAATATCAAACAAATGACTGTACATCAGTTAAAAGTTATTGCTAAAGAAAAAAAGGTTAAAGGTTATTATAAACTTAGAAAAAACGAATTAATCAAAGTATTAACACCAGTCCCAAAACCAAGAAAGAGTGTAAAAGAGATGGTTAAAGAGTATGAGAACAATACACAGATGCTATCAGATAAAAATAAAAAACCAATACCAACACCAAGAGTTAAAATAAGAGAAACAAACAATGCTCTTAAAGGTTATACAAAGTCATATGAAATAAGCATTATTAACAATAAAGATCCATTGAAACAATTACAGAACACTAGAAAGTATCTTACATATTATATTAAAGAAATATTAACATCAGGAAAGCACTTAAATATATTGAAACTCTTAAAATAACATTTGAAAAATTTGAAATAAAGATGGCAGTACTGCTGGTTTTTAACAAACATTGCTTATTTCAACAGTCCAGCTTTAACAATTACTAATTCTAATGAAATCAATGAATCCTTACAAATTTCAGAACAAAATATATTAAACAAGATTGATAAATTTACACAAGAATCTTCATCATGGATTATAAGATCTGTAGATAACCATTATCTTAATGTTGTACAATATAAACCACTTAAAGGGAGTTCATACATTAATTTACCACAAGAACTTAAAATAGTAAAAAGGATTAATTAATATCAAAATAGAGATAATGAATGCTTTAGATGGTGTCATATTAGACATATTAACCCACAAAAATAAGACCCCACAACGAATAAAAAAATCTGATAAGGAATATATTAACAAATTAGACTACTCTGGGATTGAATTTCCAGTGACTGTTAAACAATATAATAAAATCGAAAAGCAAAACAGAATTAACATTAACGTTTTCGGATATGAACATAAACAACCATATCCATTATTCATTTCAAAAGAACAATTTGAAGACCATATGGAACTATTATTAATAACTGATAATGAAAACAAACATTTTGTATTAATAAAAGATTTTAATAAATTTATGTACAATCAAACAAAGCATAAAGAAAGAAAACACTTTTGTATGCTGCTTCAATGTTTTAGTTCTGAAAAATATTAAATAACCATATAGAAATCTGTATATTAATAAATGGTATACAATCAATAAGAATGCCAAATAAAATGACAACATACTGAAATTCAACAACTATCATAAGCAACAACCATTACCATTTGTTATATATAGCGATTTTGAGGCTATTACAGAAAAGATATCTGGTTGTAATCAAAATAATAAAAAATCATATACAGAAGCCTATCAGAAACATACTGACTGTAGTTATGGGTATAAAGTTGTTTGTTTTTATGATGATAAATTCACAAAACCAATTCAACTATATAGAGGTGAAAAGGCTGTTTACAAATTTATGGAAGCTATGTTAAAAGAAGTTAAATATTGTAAAAATATTATAAAAACTCACTTTAATAAACCATTAAAAATGACCTCTGATAATGAAGAAGACTTTAAAAAAGCTGATGAATGTCATATCTGTAACAAAAAATATACTAACAAAGATATTCGAGTTCGAGACCATTGTCATATCACTGGAAAATATAGAGGGTCAGCACATCAAGATTGTAATTTAAAACTTAGAATAGACTATGATAAATTTAAAATCCCAGTAATATTTCACAATCTGCGTGGGTATGACAGTCATTTTATTATGCAAGAAATCGGAGCTATTGTTAATAAGCATACATACAAAAACAAAAAAGGAGAAGATATTCAGATGAATATAAATGCTATACCTAATAACATGGAAAAGTATATGGCTTTTATGTTAGGTAACCATCTTACTTTTATTGATAGTTTTCAATTTATGAGCTCTAGTTTAGAAAAGCTTGTTTGTAATTTACCTAAAGATTCATTTAAATATACCTATAAGCAGTTTCAAGGTGAAAAATTTAATTTAATGACTCAAAAAGGTATATACCCATATGATTATATGGATAGCTTTGAAAAGTTTGATGAGGGGTTGCCTTCAAAAAAAGACTTTTATAGTGTTCTTACTGACGAAAATATATCAGATGATTCTTATAATCATGCTCAAAATGTTTGGAATACATTCAATCTCAAAAACATGGGTGAGTATCACGACCTGTATCTGAAATCTGATATCCTTCTATTAAGTGATGTATTTGAAAACTTTAGGAAAACATGCTTAGAATACTATGAATTAGACCCATGCCACTATTTTAGTAGTCCTGGCTTATCTTGGGATAGTATGTTGAAGATGGCAGATATTAAATTAGAACTAATGACTGATATTGACATGTTTCAATTCATCGAAAAAGCTATGAGAGGAGGTATTTCTTATATTTCTAACCGATATGGTAAAGCTAATAACAAGTATATGGAAACATTTGATAAGAATAAACCCTCAAAATATATAATGTATCTTGACGCAAATAATCTGTATGGCTGGGCTATGTCACAAAACTTACCTACTGGTGGTTTCAAATGGTTAACTGAGAAACAGATTAACAACATAAACCTTGCTGAATATCAAGCAGATAGTAAAAAAGGTTTAATTTTAGAAGTTGATTTAGAATACCCTGAAGAACTACATAATTTACATAACGATTATCCTGTTGCACCAGAAAAAGTTAAGGTAACTAGCGACATGTTGTCAAAATATTGTAAGACAATTGCTTCTAATTACAATATATCAACAGGATTAGTAAGCAAACTGATTCCGACTTTAAAAAATAAATACAAATACGTTTTACATTATAGAAATCTTCAACTATATTTAGATCTTGGGTTAAAGTTAAAAAAAGTACATAGAGTACTTGAATTTAATCAATCTCCATGGTTGAAAAATACATAGACTTTAATACTCAAAAAGAACTAATGCAAAAATTCTTTTGAAAAAGACTTCTTCAAATTAATGAATAATTCGGTATTGGCAAGACTATGGAGAATTTCAAAACAGTAGATGTTAGACTAGTAACTAAAAAAATAAATTATTAAAATTAGCTTCAAAACCTACTTATGTAAGTAGTAAAATCTTCAATGAGAACCTTGTGGCTGTGCATAAGATCAAAGAAACACTAACCCTTAATAGGCCAGCATATGTTGGCATGTGTATCTTAGATTTGAGTAAAGTATTAATGTATGATTTTCATTACAACTATATCAAAAAGCGGTATGGTGATAAAGCTAAACTTCTTTTCACAGACACAGATAGTTTAACATATGAAATCGAAACTGAAGATGTCTATCAAGATTTTTGGGTTGATAAAGATAAATTTGATTTTAGTGATTACTCAGAAGATTCTCAATATTATGATAAGACTAATAAAAAAGTTATTGGTAAATTTAAAGATGCCGCTGGAATCTCAATTACTGAATTTGTTGGTTCACAGTAAAATGTACAGTTATATTAAAGATAATAATAAAGGAGATAAAAAAGCTAAAGGAATTAAGAAAAATATTATTAAGAGTGAAATAAAACATGAAGACTATAAAACAAC